TACATCTTAATATACAGTAATTACTATGTATATTTTGGAAAAGAATATATTAAAATTTGTACATTTTAAGTATTGTTTCGTTCAAAATATGCATTCGAAACTATCAGTACTATTCTGCATATCCTCACACGTGGTATTAGGGATTATCCTTAATTGTCAAATTTGCTAAAGATTAAGGATATGCCTTATATTAAGTTGAACCCTAACCCCCACCCAACCCCCACTCTAACCTCTAACCCTAACCCTGGTTTAATCTTAATCTGGCTCTAATCTAATCCCAATCTAAAAATGACTACCTTTTTTAATATTCCCGCCCCTGCGCGTCCAGCCTCCCTAATACTACGTGTGAGGATATGTTGCATTATTAGTCTTGAAAGGTCAAGGAGAGTACTATATAGAGGATGTTAGACGGCGGTGTACTAAAATACTTCATGTGAACTCATCATATGCGCATCGCTGGTTTTTTACAAAGAAACGCCTGGATACGGAGACAGGGTGTAGTATGCGATAGCAGACTGATCAACACTGCCTCATTCTCGTACCCAGAGCCCTTCTTACACTCTGCCTCTGAGATTAGTCTGCTGTTTCTCCGCAGCTCCAGTGGGGGAGGGAGGCCGGGGGGGGGCGGCTGAGCCAGTCTACTATCGCAGACTAACGGCGGTGCGAAGATATAAATTTTAATTTTTGAGTGAGTAAAAAATATTGTTCTCAGTTTTCACCACGAGAAGATAAATAATAAGATATGAAACTTCAAGCCACCGTGTATTTAATGTTCTTTTTATTATATAGTCGTTAGTAAAAATAACAAAGAAAATGAACACTTAATCGATATCTTCACTAGTGGAGATCTAGTTATGGAAAATATCTCACTGTGTATTTTTTGGTGTCCGGCACTGTCTACTATATAATAAATTAGGGTACGAGTGCTTTTGTTTCGAATTAAGAATACAAACAATGAAGTACATGATATGAAAAAGGTATCTCAGTAAAAAGATTTGTTATAACATTTAAAAATTGTGCGGAAACCATGTCAGGTCAGGGGGCAGATCATTAATGAGGTACGGACTAATAGCGGCTGCTTAAAGCGCCATCTGTAAGCTCACAGTCTACCTCGGTCCGCTTCACGCCAGTTCCGGTCCTAATATAACCAGTCACTGAAAACCCTGATATAGGGAGTGTGCCTACCTCCTCCGCAGCCTTGAAGTTGTCAAATTTCAAATTTCAACATGCGAACCGGCATACTCATTACGGGCTGTATGGCTTGCGGAGGAGGTAGGGAGTGTGCTGTGCAATATCTGTAACTCAGTTGTAGGTAATCTGCAACTCAAAATTACCACAAGGTGTTGTGGAAGCACAACCGACAAAAAGGTTACGGAGCATTTCTGATCGCGCACGACCACAAAGCTTACAGCTGCGGTAAACAATGGTTTAAGATAAAATTCCCCCATATAATAAGTGTAAATTTGCTTCAGGCTCGCTCGCTCCGCAGCAAAAAAGGTTGGGTGAAATACAATTGTCATTTTCCCGAAAAGTAAATAAAAATATCTAACTCGAAGTCCAACTCGAAGCCCAACTCGAACTCGAACTCGAATCCAACTCGATGTTACCTAACTCCCCAGCCGTTTTAAATATATAACGAGAGAAAACCTGGCAAGCTAGATGAATGTCTAAGATGTTTTATCTCATTCATTTAATGTGAAAAAGAATGGTATTGAGCATTTTTTTCGATTGCTTTAACCGTTCCGAAGTTATTGTAGTGTTATTAAGAAAATCACCGTTCGAATATGAAAATAAAATCACAAACCTAAAAATAAAATGGTTCTTCTTACCGTGTTAACATAAACAACGCGGTCGTTTCTCCACTCGCCCTGGTAAAATACTTGCACTCTACACCTTCGCCCCCTTTGAGCCCCCCCCCCCCTCCCTTGTTAGCGTTTCAGGACTACAACACTGCTTAAAACAGTTGCAAACTAAACATTTAATCAGGTATTTTTACAAAAAGTTATAACACCTTTTCTGCAAATATCTGAATTACTACAGCACATAGCTTACAAGTTATACCGTACTATTTACTACAGTATAGCTATGTTTCATGACTTTATTTCAATTTTGCTGCTTTAATCACCTTTAAAAAGAAAAATATGTCATTATTCAGACACGACAACATAATAAGAAAATTTGTTTAATATTTAGGTATTTGAAATCAATATGACAATAAAAAGTTGACTTCGACTATATAATGACATCTAACACAAATTTGGCAGCTTGCATGCATGGGTAAAACGCAAAGCTTTCAATTTCATCGCAATAGACCCAGCGACTAACGCTGAAGGGCGGATTTCCATTCAGTGGAAAAAGTCGCGCGATCGACTTTTTGCGATCACTTTCTTTTGAAATACAAGCAATCAAGCGCAACGGAAGATTTGAAAAGAAAGTGATCGCAAAAAGTCGATCGCGCAACTTTTTCCACTGAATGGAAATCCGCCTTAAGCCTCGTTCACACTGGTCATAAGAATCGGGGATTTCCATTGTCTGTGGTCACTGGTGTGTAAAATGCTTTGTCTGTCGGAAAGAATACAATAGATCGCCGACGAATTACGACCTGTGTGAACCAGGTTTAAAAGTGCCTATGTTATGATTTGAGATATTAAGTATTTTTATCTTTGGTCCATTTTATTGGTACCATCTTCATAGGATTATTAGCCCTCAAAGTTACCGGATATGACATCAAATCGGGAATTTTATACGCTAGAAACAAAACTCAAAAGAAATCTAATTTGCAGTGATCCCTGTTTGATGTCATATCCGGTAACTTTGAGGCCTGATAACCTGTGCATGAAGATGAAATATTTTCTTTTAAAGATATATTGCATTTCTTCATAAAGTATACCAATGGTTACAAATAATAAATTACACAAATCATGACATAGGCGTGCACGTTAATAGAGCGTCTTGTTGGCACTCACATCTGTGTGCTTTAAATTGGCAAATGTATCCTACGCGGTTGTGGCATTTGCTGTCATTCCACTTTCCTTTACTCATAGAGGACATACTGTGTAGTTCTGCAACGTTATTAACCATAAAAGATTTATCAGGAACGTAGAAAATACAAGGAAATACTAGTTCTGAAATACGATATGATATTTATAATAAACACTGGAGCGTAAATTAAAAAGGCCTGGACTATTATCCCATTACTTCCTACATTATCCACAAGCCTCCCTATTTTTACGCTCCAGTGTTTATTATAAATATCATATCGCATTTCAGAACTAGTATTTCCTTGTATTTTCTACGTTCCTGATAAATCTTTTATGGTTAATAACGTTGCAGAACTACACAGTTGCCTGCGGAGGAGGCTATAGAGGACAATGCTTTACTTGAGCCATGCGAAATCATATAGACACAGTTTTCGGGTCTGCCATTATGAGAGGGGGGGGGGGGGGGGGGCAAGGGTATTTTCGTGACTCGTGATTAGCAACTATTCGTGCTTCGTGATTCGTGATTTGAAGAAATACTATTCCGTGAATCGTGATTAATATGCGTGCCGTGAATCGTGAAGAGCTAAAAGGGCTAGCTAGGGTCCTGAATTTACCAATATTTTACCCTAACTTGTGAATGTTTACGTTTAAAACTCGGCCCAGATTTCAGACTTTGTTACGCTTCTCAGGTGTTTCTAAAACTCGTGAAAATGAAATTTTGCTTTTCGTGACTCGTGAAATCTGAAAATGATCTTCGTGATTTCGTGACGAGAC